GATAAGAAATTTGCCTTATAATGACATTTTTATTTGGTTGTTTCTATTTAGCGTAGTTAAGCAAATTATGTTTACTTTTTTTCACACAAATACGTTGAAAAATTGAATTATTTTGCGGTGTGCAGCAAAAAAACGTCTCTGAAACAGGCTGGAAAATAATGACATGGGTTGTTTTGAAGGCTGCCACCCCATCATATCATGATTGTTGTTGCGGTTTAATGCAAATAACACGGTAATTTAATATGAGCCTAGCATGAAAACAACAGCCTGAAAATATGCGCGGCCCGACGCTTGTTGTGTCAGAAGTATAATTTTGCGCCGTTCATTGCGATTTGTATGTAAAATATTCTTTATTTTGCTTTCTTTATTAAAAAATTCAACCATTCTTTTAAAACTGGAAAAATTTAATCTAATGACCATAGACAAATTTATTTTTGAAAACAAATATAGACAAATTCAAAAAATTATATAATATTCTTTTTGAAACTATTCGACTTGAACCAGAGATATCATATCAGGGAAATAGTTTTTCATTTGATTTTGTTGGCTTGTAACAAAATCAGATGTATTTGATGTAACTGAGATGTATTTGAATGATGTCGTCATGGTACATTGATCTTCAATGTTAATCTCATATTGTAATCATTTCTTCATATTGTCATTAGTATTTACAAATTATGCCAGCTCATATTTATTAAAATATTGTCAATATAAATGTAATATATGTACAAATATGTTTGTTTACATCAATCCACATATGAACATATTAACGTATGTACATGAACATATTTTTATGTCCATAGACAAATTTATTTTTGAAGACAGGAAAATAAATGGTGGAATAATGATGATTGAATGATGGGTGGATGTATGGATGCATGGACAATGATAGAAGGATGAACAATGATGGATAAATGGATGGATAAATGACGAATAAATGAATGGGTGATTGGTGATATATGGATGAGTGATGATAGATGGGCGAATGGATTAGCAAGGTTTTATAAATGTCATCCTCTCAAACATGAATGAACACTACATGTGTTCTGAAATACACATATGTACACTACACCCACACACACACGCGCGCGCGCGCACACACACATACACTCAACATAGCACACACATATATACACACAAATACATATATCTACATGTAAAATACTTATCATTGTACGTACGCGTAACAACAAACAAATTGATGTCCAGGCAGTTTTCAAATGTATATTCACATGTGTACATCCAGGCGTATACGTTTAGTACACAATAGCGCATGCATAAGCGTACACAGTTTCCATTCATAAACATACAAAATACACGCAAGATATTTCAAAACATATGATGGATAAACATACAAATGTTCATTATGAGGCAAATATGGAAATGTTAGCCTCTGCTCAATTTACAGGTGTGACGTCATCAATCAATTGCCACACGTCAACGACTCTGAAAATGATACGTGCGTTAATATGTACATCATGTGAATGCATATATTTCGTCAGTGCTGTAATTTTGTATAATTCTAATGTATATCGATACTGTTTTTTTACAATGTTAATTCTTTGTTTAATGTGAAAACTCAACGGTCATAAACACATGGCCACATACACAACGTATCAAGCTTTTATGCTTAAATGTTCTATCATGTTTAAAATAAATAAAAATTTTGGTTTTGATGGTTTTCAACTCAAGAAACATGACAATGATTTACGATCTACCGTTATAAAAATCGAAAAATTAAATAGAAAGCTTACTAATGCGGAACATGCTGAGATTTTCATCGACAATTATATATATATATATATATATATATATATATATATATATTGTATATATACGCATATGTATATATATATATATATATATATATATATATATCGTACGTTTACATATATGACATTAAAAGACATATATACAGAAGACGCAAGTGCTAACATGTGTAGAACAGCAGGCACGTTCGTGCCAGTGCATTTAATGACATCCGTGAAGTTGTTTTTGTCATTCGTTGACTCCCAAGTTTTGCCAAAAAAATTTGTAAAAAAAACACGTTTGGTGTACTGAGGAACCTTAATTATAAATATAAGAGGATCACTTCTCTTCAAATGAAATTACGTAGTTGTGCTCAAGCAATTTATTCGATAATCTTCCCAACATTTAAAATCCTCGACTAAAACAATCAACAAGATAAATTGACACAAGCCGTCAGAAGTTTTTTCAAACAACCTGCGTGCCATAGAAGTCAATTAACTGAGTAGATTGCATTTTTATGTGCTTGAAGGAGATGCATAATTGATGAAACTGAAAAAAATGAATGTAATCATCAGCACAGACAAAAACAGAGCACGCACATACAACAACACAAAAAACAAACTTGAAAGGACAGAGCTCTAGTATTAACACAAACAAACGACGCTTACGTGTACCATTTAAAGAGATTTTTTAATAAAACGTGTAAGTCTATTGAAATACTGAGACATCATTTTTGGGTGAATAAGGACAAAAACAATTTTACCTTACACCTAAAAACGAAAAAGCATACAAAAGAGACTGTACAACACATCCATACATCTGTCTTCTAAACCTTATAATCTTGGCTGCGTTTTGCGAGTAACAATTGAATTACGTCCACACGTTCTATGTGGCTGGCGTAGATTTTAAAATTGAATAAAGATATGAATACTGACACGGATGCGATTATAGATATGATTATGAATATAAATATATTGGCAGGAGATAGGGCGTGGTTGTTTGTTGTATTTGTGTACGTGTGTGTGTGTGTGATGTTTGTGCTTGGGGCGTGTTAGATTGGTGTGGACATTTTTTATTTACTTGCACGAGCGTTATTAGGCACGTACAGTTCATTCGTCGTTTTATTAAATTTTGCCGTGTCATATTGTCATTATGTTGTCGTAGATTTGTTGTGTGAATTGTTGTTTGTGTTCTAGCTTTCGCATAGGGGAGATGTTGTTTCAAGAAAGTAGAGTACGCCTTGCTTCAAATGGGTCTACGTACCACAGGGAAGCTTATATGGAGGAACAAATTGCCTGCTAATACAATTACAAATGCTAATTTTTGTTTTGTTAAATACTTTTTAACTTGTAATGCTCATTATTTCTGTAGTTTTGAGGTGCTTTAAGCTTCGTTGGATTTTTATTATTGTAACAAATAATTTTTCAAAATTTTTGAGTTGATTTCAAAAAACGTTTTGGTACTTGAGTTTCCCTCAAAATTTTTTTTACTGGATTATTTCATTTATTTACTTTTTTTTAACTTAACTTAATCATCACTGTGACTTTCGCCAAATTACCAGAGAAAAATCATTTCATTTGAACTCTTAAAAGGCTGATTTTAATAGAGTGCTTAGTATTGTGTGTTTATAAATTTAATTTTTGATTTGATACTATGCCGTTTCAACAGCTGTTAAATTTAATAAAGTTCGTTCAATTAGAAAATTGTTTCGAAATGTGAAAGAAGTCACTTAGTTCTATAAATCCAAGCTCCTCTTCACGACAATCGTATGGAATTCGGAATTTCAAATAGTTGATCTACTTTGCTGGTCAATTCCAATTAAAATTTCATTCGACATGAATCCTCAGCAAATAAATAACACGAAACAATTGCTGCAAGCTTCACACACGTGAAATAAATTGCAACGTGCCAGAAGCAATCCGGATAGCACCAATCGATGGAAAGGCTTTCTTCAGCATCTGATTGACCAAACCTTCGCCGGGATTAGATGAATCGCATTTTCATGCCTTTCTGCTAACGTTATCAAGCTTGGATCGTTTGTGTGGAAATGTGGAAGAATGAAACAAGTGTTTGAGTGTGTATGCAAGTATGTGAGAGAGGTAGGTTTGTTTTGTGGATGATATTGTTTATTCATGGATGGTGCACCATTTGCTGGTATTCAGCGGTCCAATCAATTTCATATTAAATCGTGCTTAATTGCTTCTTTAGTATTCTTATATGCATGCTTGCAATGAAGGGCTTAATTGGATAGATCAGTTTTTTATTATTTTTGCTGTATTTTTGCTACTAAAACCGGGCTTATTTATGACAGGCACTCACCGTTAAGAAAGCGAAACCATTATTCATTTGGTTTCTGCGGCACGGATTAATTAGTATTACTTTTTTTAGAAATATATCTTTTGCCAACAAAATTGTATCTGTAAATATTGTTGAGTTGCGTTTCGTTTACTTTATCTTTCGTTTATTTCTTGTACGTCGCAAGAACTTTGCAAGAGTGTACGCAAAATTATAACATAGTGAGTTATACAAAGTAAAAGTCATGTAAGGGTATTAGGAAATTTTAGAATGTGTAACAACTGCACAAACTCACAGAAACAGTTTTATCAATCTAAATCAGTGATATGTTGATAACATTTTTACAGTGGTTAATATTCCTGAATTTGAGAAAATGATTTTATTTTACTTGTTTTTTAATATTAATAAGATGATGCCATCTTTAAAATAATCTAACTGAAAAAAATCTGTGAGAAAAAAAATTTTTTGCACGGCACCTGCATAATTTAATACCATCAATTTCTTTACAAATGATTCCTGTTGACTTGCCAGCCGGGCGTGATATGAATAGGATGCTACGTGAACAATCGTTTCAATCACGCGCTCCATTCAACGTTATTGCGGATATTTCACTTGTAACTTTTCCTTATTTTTATCTTATTTTACAATATTTTTTACAACAATTTGATAAACATTATGATGAATTAATAATATTATTACCATTTTTGCTTGAAACGTTTTAGTGTAAAATTAAATATAAACTTATTTCTTTCTAAATTTCAAATGATTTGCATTCAGGATACGAGCAGTACAACATTTCTACGAGTTAAGTAGATACACCCAAAAATCTTCTCTCAAAAAAAAAAGAAATTTCAAAAACTCTGGTGACGCAAATTGCTTTAAAGATGATTTCTCTGGGGAAAAAAATACTTTATTGAATAATAATAGAGAAACAGATAAAGGTATAAACCTAACTTTTAATTTGTGACCTTCATGCGACTGCAATGCTTTGTTTGGAGGGGCACCTGGCGAATTTATTTGTAAAATTTCCCCGTGAATGAAATGTATTTTACCAGTATTAGCAATGAACTTACAAATATAAATCGAGCAAAACAAAACACCGAACACCTCCAAAGAATAAATATTTTCTGCAATTATCCTATTGTGAGAATGTTGAAATTTATTTACAGGACAATCATATTTGTTTATACACTTAGAAGTACTCATAAAAGAAGCATACCGCAAAGTAACATATTACGATCAAAAATACAATGAAAAAAAGATCTTTCCATATAATATACAATTTTAAAACTCATGACATCAAAATTGTATTACAGATATTTTAATGAAAATACATGTTTACACACAAGTTATAAAGATGTTTTAATGTGACTGTTGTTATACAGCAATATAAAATTACATCTCTCAAGCTGTCATAAGACGTACAGCACACATCAGATGCAGTTACAGCTTAATGAAGGTTCACCAGACGTGGCACACATTGTTATTCAGCCGCCAACCTAAACCCTCTAAGTCATGCTTACTTTCATATTACCCGACAAAGAATGATTGAATGGCTATATGGAGAAAGTATGTGCAAAATTATGCAAAGTGTCTAATAAGTTTGGGAAAAAATGCATTTAGCAAAAAATGTAATGTGGACTTGGATTTGTGTGTGATGGTTTTATAGAGAAAATAAGAAAATTCAGGTGAAACTTCAAACATTTTATGTTGGAAAATGCAAATGTTTCTACAAAAAAAAACGAATCATTATGTTTGACAGATTCATCTTATTTGAATGTTGATGGCTCACCCCAGGGCACGCCCCATGAAGAAGCAACTGAACAGCACCATTCAGACGTCTCTCTCTATTACATTTAAAAAAAAAACTCCACGGGTTATTTTAGTCTAAACAAATTTGTCTTTACAGTGTTTTCTCCCTTGAACATTAAAATGTTATTGCTATTCTCCGACTATGTTGAACTGTATTAAACACGAATCAGAGCATAAAGTTGGGAAGAAAAACATTTCTATTTGGACAAAAAACAATTAAGAGTGTCGTAATATGTTCTGAAACAATGATGGATACTAATATAAAGGATGAATGATGATATAAGAGATGGATACTGATATAAAGATGGATGGAGATTTAAAAATTGGATGATATTATAAAAGATGGGTGATGATAAAAAAGATGGATGATGATAAAAAAGTTGGATACTTGAATATAAAAAGATGAATGATGATATAAAAAAGATGGGTGATGATACAAAATGAAATCTTACCAACATTCCTCTCCAACTCGTGTTGAGAATTTGATTAGGGAGACCGGTAATCCTGTTGTATATCAGTGAGGCGTCGGGATAAGAAAATGAAAAATAACTGTTTAATTTGTTCGTCGATGTAATTGTTGACGCTGCTGCTGACTTTGTTGTTGTACTGGTTGATGTTGTTGTCGGGAATGTCTGTCGTAGTAATTGTTGCCGGTTTATTGCTGCTTGAGGAGTTGTGTGACTGTTCAACAGGGTTGCAGCGTAATTTTTGTTTGATGGGAGAGTAGAGCTTGCCACTGAAAATGATTGTTGTATTGAGTTTTGTTGCTTATTAAAATTACTACTGCTTGTTGCGATTGCAATATTTGTTGTGTCAGCAACATTCGTCTTGGTGGATACGTTTGCTGGAAGCGTTTGCACCGTGCTTGTTAATGATGTGTCCGGATCAATATCCAAGGATCGGTTTCTCATTTTTATTTTGTTCAGCAGCATTTTGTACTGTTTAACGATTCTCGGGTTTGCATGTTGATGCTGGAGCTGCTGTTGTGGCTGCTGTAGCTGCAAGTTTTCATTTTTTTGCAACTGAGATGAAACACAGTTGCTAATCTTGTTCAGATCATCTTTTTTCATTTCTAGTTGGCTGTCAAGAAAGCGAAACATGTTCAAGTGGAACTCACTCATCGGAAAATAAACATTTTTCTTCGTTTCACACTGGAAAACGTTTGAACTGAAATGGCTGAAATGAACAGTTGAATTTTCATCGTCGTGGTCCGCAAGCGACTGAGGCACTAAATTTTGTGGCAGGATCAAAGGTTTGGAAACGTCAGTTGTCAAACGTGGCATGAGGGTGTCGAGAATGTTGGAGTTGTTGGGTGAAGCATCGACGTTGAGGTTGTTGTTTGTGGTGGTAAGGTTTGATTGATGGATGGTTGTTGTTGATGAACAGGTCACCTGTGTTGTTGGTGGTGTACGATGGCCGGATGTGCTGCCAGGTGATCTAGAGGATCGAGCTTCGTTTTTCGCTGCGTGCTGTCGGTGTTGCAGTTGAATGGGAGAAGTTTGATTTTGTGGTGGAGATCTACGCTGTTGCTGAAAATGTTGCTGATGATTTTGTTGTTGCGGTGGTGGTGTTATTTGAGTTTGAACCGTGGCAGGTAGATCGTTTTGACTGGACGGCTGTAGATGCTCATTAGAAAGAGCAAAATTTGACAGTGTTCGTGTTAAAGAAGAAAAATCTAAGTTTAAAAATGTTTTAGTTTTGTCTTTTGTTACATTTTCGTTGTTGGTTAGTAAGATGTCTTCGTTACGCCGCTGGTTTTTCTTGCAAGCAGCATTATTATGAATGTTTGAACTTTTTCTATCAATCTGTTGTTCGCAGCACGTTTCTTCGTCTCCATCGTTCCTGTCGAAATGTTCCCGATTAACTGATAATCTTCTCACCATTCGGGAAAATTTCTGCAAAACATGTTGCGAGTTCTTTGACACGGAGTCTGATAAATTCCAAGAACTGTTGTTGAAACTTGAATTAATGTTTTTGTTCTTTCCATGAATTACGGAGGAATCGATCACTTTCAAGTCAATAAATTTGGGATTCTTATAGTTTTTTTGCAGCGTCCTGCCTGAACTTGTTGGGCTTGATTTCAACTCGTTTATTTCCAATGGACTGACAGAAGACAAATTCGGGGCTGTGTTTGTTGCATTTGTTTCTGCCATCATGGTGCTAGTACTTATTTGCGTTTTTAAATGTTTGCTCGAGGTCTTTTTTGGCATGTAGGTTGATACGTTTTCAAGTAAATCGTCGGGAGGATGTTGTTGCTGTTCATCACTTACGTTACATGCTTGAACATCCACTGCGTTGTTTGTTTTGCGGGTGCGTTCGACACGATAAGAATCATCATCATCATCACCATCCTGCGTGTGAAAGGCGTCTGTGTAATCAGCATAACTCTGGGCAAGATAACGATCGTCGTCATCGTCCTTTTGTCGCTTCACTAAAGTCCTCGCAATTTGATTCGAATTTTTTCGAGGTGTTTGTGGTTGTTGTTTGTGATGATGGTGGTGGTGTTGTGATGATGGTGGGTAATGTTTTTGTTGTAGATGGTTTTGTCGAGGATGATGTTGGTTTGGGGAACAATTTTGTTTCAGTGGATGGTCCTGATCTGGCAGCTGAAATTGATGATGATCAGAAGGTTGATGATGTTGAGAATACATTTGTTGTGGTTCAGGTACATCTCTATTCTGATGCACATGAGTTTGTTGTTGTTGTTGCTGCTGCTGAGGTTGTTGTTGCAGTCTTAATGGCATTGATTTATTTTGATGATATTGTTTATGTTGAGAGGAAACATACTCACGTGGTTGTTGATGTTGTTGTAGATGTTTTTGTTGATATTGAGTTTGGGGTTGTTGATGTTGTTGCGTCATAGATATAAGTATTCATGATAATTTTGATCAGCTCTGTCACATGCGGTCAGCATGTTATCAAGTTTCTAGATATGTTTGTTTGTTTTACTTTTAAGAGTTTCTATTAGTTTTTATTTAGTTTATTTTCAAAAAAGTTTCTTGCTTAAACTGAGATATTTATAACATATTTTTTTAGTAGTTTCTAATGATTAAATGATTTTTACGTCCAAAACAACAACGATTGAAACAGCAAAAAACATTTCATTCCTGTGCAAGACAATGATGTCTCTCGTAACTCAATTCATGGATGATCCTCCATCTCGGTCCCTGGATCTTCATGCATGGCAACGCAGTTTCATAAATTTTCCATTCGCGGTATAAATCACTGCATGTTTGGAAATATTGTTATTCATATAACTTTAAATTAACCGCATGGTATGTTAACATTAAAACAAAAATGTTAAAACAAAAAAAAATTAAAAGCATGAGAGGAAACACGCTGCTTACCTCAGAGTGCTATGATGTTAAAAGTAGGAAAATGCCCTTTTTTCATGTATTTTCATATGCAGTGCATTGATATGTCAAAATGAATGAATATAACATTTTGAAAATGACAGAATGTGTGAGTTTCAGAAAATAATTTCTGCAGCTAGACTTTTACGAAAAAAAATCCATTGCTTAGTTTTTTTTATACTTTTTACACTAAAAGTTCTTCACTTACAAACACAAAACTCACAAACATATGCATTTTGTATGTAAACGCCAGTGCTGAATCGATGATGGTTATCTTTAAGCATTGTACCGGCATCACGTAAATCATTTCAGCGCTCAGCTACTTTCTTGCGATTGAAGTTTTATGAAGTTCTTACACAGCCTAAGCTGAATTGCCAACATATGCACTTAAACGATCAATTATTTGGGAAGAAAAGACTAAAATTTTTTATTTAAAACATTAAGATAAAAAAATTTGAACTACAAAATTTACGACCTCCAAATAATTTAGTAGGTGAAGCGTTGAATAAAAAATTAACAAGTTCGACTCGACCAATTGAGTAGCTTATTTTTATTTTACTTGCAAACTACCATTATAGTTGCTATCTTTTCTCTCTTTCGTCTTTTTTAGTTTGATTAAATGCGTCAGACAAAATTGTTATTATAATTTACTTTTCAAAAAATCAATCGACATTAATTATTTTGGCGCGTGTTTGTTAATGCGCCCACTAACAGAAATGAATTTTTTCAATGGTTCAGACCATATGGTTAAGTTCACAAATTGATGAATTGCGTGATTTTAAGCACGTGGGTAATTTTGATACTGATCACCTACAACCATCTTTTATTGTAAAATGTGAAAATTGATAACTTCATCTTTCATATTAAATATTAAACCTGACATTTTTGGACGTACACGACTATTTTAATTCAAATTTCAAAAACTTGAAAAGTTCAAAACAAATGTTTTGAGAGTCAAAATGGAAAAAAAGAATTTGAATGCGAAAACGCAAACAACTGCATTGACTCAGTGGTTGTCCATTTGTTCTAATTTGTTCCTAGTCTTGAAGCTTGCAAGAAAAACTGGAAGCGAAATTTTTTTCACGGAGTAGAAAATTACAGAGATGTAATCAAGGTTAGGTTTAAAAATGGAACACGCATGAACCAAACGAAATTTTGCAATTCTTTGTCTACTTTTTAAACATTTTTTTACTTTTTCGTCATTGGGATCTGTTAGAAAAGTTAATAGAAACAACAAATCACGTGTTAATCAGTTGCAGTCTTGTTAGTTGACGTGCATACGTTTTTTTGTGCGTAATTGTGTTTGTTATGTTGTAAAAACAGAAAAATTGTGACATATAAAAACTACAAAATTGTCATCAGCATAAATATCTTCATCAACAAATCAACAAAAGCTAACAAAATTCGGCGAAAGTTCTTACAACAAAATCTTTGACAAAACCGAAACAAAATTGAGGCACAAACGATGCCACCAGAGCACAAAGCAGTTTGTGCACCCAAACGATGCATCACAACCACCGCGTCAATTAACAATATATTAGTTATTTTATTTGTCCACTCCATATGCTTTTTCTACTTTGTATTTTTATACAATTATGTGAAAAATTAATTATTAAAACACAAACAATTAACACAAACGCGCGCGCACACGCACACGCACACACATGCGTATAATATATATTCACATATTTGTAGGATAATGAATGTAATGATTGATGATAATGTATTTTAGCACGAACACATCTTGAGGAAGGCCCTGCACATATGAGATTCTCCATTGTTTACAATGATTTGGTATTGTGGATATTGTAACAAGCAACAAACAATATGAGTCGAACATACCTACTCGTGTTAAATATCTTCACAGTGGCACGTATACTGTTATACAGGATTTGTTTAATGTTTTATGTTGAATATACAGATAGAAATCTAGAAACTACTCACAAACATCGTTTACTATATTACAATTAATTCATTAGCAAACACTTTCACACATTTTTCATATCTTGAGGATGTTATCTATAGATTCATTATAAATAAATAATTTGTTTGAAGAAATGTGAAAAATTAATTAAATATATTAACGTATAATTGAATACAATGTATAACATTTGAATTAATGCAAAATATGCATGGTTAATTCTGTACCTCGCGGAACCAACCCAGAGTAATTCATCAGGCACTCACTGAGACACATCGTTCGCTGTTTCTTACCTGTTGGTAGTAAACACTTCTTATTTATTTCACCCTCTAGGTAGTAGGTATCTTTAATTTATTTGAAGATATTTGAAATTTTAAAAACAAAATGAAAATTAATAGTTTATGTTTATGATTGGTTAATTTTCATTTTTAAAGCATTGTAATTTTGTACTAACGTACAGATAAACAAAAAATATCACGTTTCAGTACATTTAAATTTAATTTAAATTTTAAAAATATATCCCAAATTTTAAAAAACAAAAAAAAATATGACGGCATAAAATAAGTGTGAGAATGACATTTTTTATCCACATGGTTGTGTGATTGATGCGTTGATTGATTGGATTTCCGAATGCATGAGCAGACAAATGAATGAACGATCAGTGAATCAAGAGCGAATTTGATAAACTCTTCACACACAGACTCACGTCTAAAAATTCTACTCCTCTTCCACTGCCATCAATCAAACAACTGAATATAAGGTTTATAATTTTTACGATTTCAATTATATTTTTTGTGATTGAAATAAATATTTTGCAAAACATTTCAAGAAACTAACACAAATTCCAAATTTAAAGAACAGTTCAAATCAATTTTTAATAATTTCATCTCCAAAAATATTCAGTTTTGTAGCGTAGCCAAATGTGGTTTGAGACTAAAGTCACCCACAATAGATATTTTTACTAGCGCATAGTTAAATTTGAAATAAAAGCTGTTTTCAGTCCTATATTGATCAACAATTTGTTTATTTGTATTTGTATGTGTGTGTGCGTGTATGTGTGCGTATATCTGTGTGGGTAGTCTCTAACAATAAGTGGTGCTTTATAAAAAGTCTTTGCAATATGTTTTTTCCCAACTTTTATTTGATTATATTGATAGTTGCTGACAGACAGCACGGTGGTGATGCTTTATTTTGAATTTCAGTCAGTAGTGCAGTTGACTGTTTGCGAAGTACGTGGTGAGAATGAAATTATCTCCTTAATGCACTCGCAAAAATTTCTTCAAACTGATGCATTAAAATGCATTAAATTTTTCTTTCCAATGTTTCACATACATTTCAAAAAGTATACAGAACCAAGGAAACAAAACTGCAAAACTGAAAAACTACAACAATAATTATTCAATACATAAGTTATAGTTTTTAGTTGTACCCAGCATTTAAAATATGTATAAGTTCCTCATTCTTGGTGAAGTCGCAATCGTAAGCCATCCATTCCCAACTTCCACAAAAACTATTATAAATGGCGAAAGGTTTTATTTAAATAACATAACAAAATATTAAAAAAACGTCAAATGAAAAAGTTTGATTGAGCGTACATGAACTACTTGTTATTTTCATCGTTTTTGAAAGTTTCACTGAGATTCGTTCACAAATAAGTAGTCACTATATGAATCACATTTTAAAATTTATGAAGAAAAAAAACATTTTCACATCCAATTAAAAATATGCAGTGATGCACAAACATTTGAGTACATTCAAATATAAAAATATTTCCAATATAAGCTTGCGGACACCTCGGATATGATTAAGAAAGAAATTGAAACTACATACATGCTGTTATTTAGTGCACTGTGGAACATGCAGGCGGGCTGGCTTTATGTATTGTCGTCCGATGTTTGACTGGTGTCATTTGTAATTAAGTCATCCTGGCAAATAATTACAAGTGCGCTAATTAAGATAAATTGGTTTTTTTAAGCCCCGATATCTTCTGCTGCGATATTTGCTGGAGAAGCACAGATGCCCGTTGCACGTTAATTTCATGCGCCCAACACGTATATTGTTTACGATTCAAGATGTATTGAGGTGTGTACGTATACACATGCACATGTAGGATATTTTTGTATGTGTAGATGTTGATATGTTATTTATTTGTTCGATTATATAGCATCTTTTTACGTACTTTTGGGGTGAGTCAGTAACCACACTACTTGCCCGCCTGTGTTTTCACAAAATATTTCCGTTCGTATGCCTCTGATGATGTGTGTCTCCGTGACGTGTGCCCTTCATAATTGCACAAATGCACGTCTGCTCGTACATGTAATGGTAATGATGTTAATGTACATTTCCAGCTGCATATTATTTTTTGTAAGTATATTTTATATGCATTTAGAACAATTTTTATAAGATTTTTTCAGTCAATGTTGTAAATAACTGGCGTGTGTGTGTTTAAGCCATTGTAAATCTGCTGTTTTATGAGTGGGGCTGTGTGTTCGAATGTTCCTATAAGTTCGTTTATGCATGCTTGTACGCTTATTTATGTGTTCCTCTCTTTGTCCTAACTGTTCTTTTGTAAGTGTTTTAACCAAGTTTCTTTGTGCGCGCGTGTGTGTGTGTGTGTGAAAATGTATGTTTGAATTTATAAAAGTATAATTCCAAAACGAACAAAATTAAGGTGTGTTCTGGAGGAGATGATGCAGGCAGGCTTGTTTGCGCTGGCCAAGAGGCGCATGTGTTGGCGAACACTCCTGCCCGTGCCATAAAATTTTATTTATCTCAAGTAATTTATGTTTATAAACTTTTCGACGTCTTCCTGCAGAGTACCGACTGTAGTGAGAGATTCAGCGAAGTTATAAATAAATCTAAAGTGAATTAAATGAAAGTAAATGTTCTTACCAGAACGGGTTCACAACATAAATGATAAAAAAAATCGCTCGTGTTATTAATATTTTCGCTTTATTTAGCCAAGAAGTTTTTTTCGCATCAAGGTAATACAGTTGGCTGAGTTTAATTAAAAAGCTTTAAAACACGATACATCAAAATTTTCTGCCAGAGCAAACAAATGCAATAAATACCTGAATGAGAAGGCATTATAACGTCGTAGGCAGTTTTACATTAACTTGATAACATTAGTGTTCTGCGGTGTTCTTCAGTATCACCCCCAGAAATGCCAGCATTTTTTATAGCATTAATTAACATTGGTGTCTATGAGATCTCATTCATATAATCATATTTGCATTGAAAATCTCATCCAGAAGCATTTATATTTGTTTATTTTAACAAAAGTAAATATGCAAAAGTGATTCAACCGTTATTTAGAGCAAACTAGCGAAAAAATTCCACCAGTGAGTGACATTATTCTCATATTCTTGAAAATATTGCACCATGTCAGAGTAACTCTTCAAGCTTGTAATTTTTTTCCATTTCACTTTAATTATTTCATAAGTATATATTTGTTGTTTTCCAAGAATTATTGCAATTACTATCATATATAACCCACTAGATACTGGACAGTTCATTTGCTCCAAGTTGATGCTGGTGTATGTATGTATGTATGTATGTATGTATGTATGTATGTATGTATGTATGTATGTATGTATGTATGTATGTATGTATGTATGTATGTATGTATGTATGTTAAAACCAAATCATTGACGAATTGGATAGGATAGAGTTTGGCTTTGACCTGTTCCAACACTAGCGCCAGAGCGCACTTACTGGCCAGCCTCCTCCAGAAATTCCCCACCGCGTATGTATGTATGTATGTATGTATGTATGTATGTATGTATGTATGTATGTATGTATGTATGTATGTATGTATGTATGTATGTATGTATGTATGTATGTATGTATGTATGTATGTATGTATGTATGTATGTATGTATGTATGTATGTATGTATGTATGTATGTATGTATGTATGTATGTATGTATGTATGTATGTATGTATGTATGTATGTATGTATGTATGTATGTATGTTAAAACCAAATCGTGATGAATGACACCAAACAGTCAAACATCTGATTAAAAGGGTTAACACTTTAATGTATCGTTAGTCTCACACGTCGGCGTTTAAATTAATATTTTCCGACACACAAACACGCAGAAATCGCTGCAACAAACACGAGATGTGGTTTATTGCAAAAAAGAACTCTCTGTTGTCACCTGACCAAACACCAATCATTTTACACAATGTTTTAATAAATTTTGAAGTATTGGGGTCCATGGGTCCAAGGACCTTGATATATATAGGCAAAAAATCTAAGGAAGACAGAGCGTGTTCATATTTTTTAATTTTTTCGTCCGATGCCCTGATTGCAGCCAACCCACATTTTTTGCTGGTAAGGTGAACGTAGCGCTCGGCCAAGGTACCAGAAACCGTAACATCCCAAGCCAAACATTTACCGGCTCTCCAGGGAGTAAGAGTACAACCGTCTGGTCGCTTGCCATCTTGCACTGAAATGCCAGATGGTTTCTTCAAAATAGGAATAGAAGCTTTAGAAAAAAGCCGGCAAATGTAATCATTCAAAACAGAATGACGAAGTTGACGGCCTCCACCTAAACGGCAAACCAAACCATGATGACCAAATTCGTCCGCCTCCGCGCCGCAGCGACACAGATATTTATTTTGTATACTTAGGCCAAGTCTGAAACCAACGGCAAATCTAACAGACTCGTCATCGAGTCTGGTGCTTACGGAAGTGTTGGGCCACGACCTCAACCAACCACAACTAACATCACTAGTTGCAGCCAATAAGCGGGCGGAGGAAGAAGCACCGACACCAGAAGACAGAAGTTCATGAAAAGTCTTCTTATATTGCTCATCTAAAATTTGAGCTTGTGAAGGGCTTTCAGGTGTGGTCGGCAGTGGTGGGATGTCACAGCAACAACAAAATCGGCAAAGCAAGGCAGACTGGAGGTCAATGGTGGCAGCGGCAGAAGATTTATAGACGATTGGTGCCAACTGAACCACACTGAGTAACCCCTGACCACCATACTGCACCGGCAGCTGAGCCTGGGACCAGCCACTGTCAGTCAAATGAACATTGCAAATGGCTGACAAGGCGGTACGCAAAACATCATCAAATCTGCCCAACAACAATGGGTTAATGTAGCTGGATGTACGAAGAAAATACATCATTTTGGGCAAACTGAGGGCGCTTCGGAAAAGAGTCAGGGCGTCGTGGACGGAAAGATGAGACACTCGGTCGAGGGCGAACTTAAGTTCTGAAAACTTTTTATCAAAAAATTTAATTTGGGAGTCGCCCTCGAACAAGGATGCGCCCAAATTTGATTTTGAACAATGGGTACATCCGCCAACACCAGTGGCAAATATAGTGAATCTTTAAAATAGAGTTCACATTTATTGGTGTTTAACTCTAGCCCAATGGTGTTGGCTTCGTTTTTCAAAAATTCGTAGTTTTCGGCCAGTGTTTGGCTTTTTGAAGCAATGCTGATGTCGTCCAGATAGCCACAAATGAAAACGGACGACAGTTTTTCCAACAAAGGATGCAGGGTCAATGCAAATAAAAGAGGTCCCAGTGGATCACCCTGTTGCACGCCCTCGGACGATTCAACCACCCAGGTGTGATAGCCAAGCGAAAAAGCGAGGCCGTAAGCAGAATGGCAGAAATTATATATTCTGGGGCAGAAACATTTGACGGCTTCCAGCATTGAATCTCTTCTCATGGCGTTAAAGGCATTTTTAAAATCGATTTTTAGAAATCCCCATTGATTAGGGAGGTCTGTGACCAATTTTCGAACGGCGTGAACGGCGGCCTCAGCACCTCCTTTCACGCCAACGCCCAATTGAACCGGGTAAAACTTGGTTCTCATTTCATCCATTACCAGGTTCAAAGCACATTTGCTCGCCAATCTACGCCAACAGTTACCAACAGCGATTGGCCTACCTCCTCTATCTTTTTTGGTCTAGGCTATCAGGCGGCCTCCAAAAAAAAACGGCAAACCGTGGGTGGACAGGCGCCCGACAGAACCAAATTTATAAATTTCGTTAGGGAAATTAATAAGTCGTCAATTGGCAGGGGGCCGGAAGGTCTTTGAGATGCTGAGGACGCAAACCATCGAGACCCCTCGGACGAGCCATTTCCAAAAGACTTTATGGTCTTGAGCACCTGGGTGGAAGAAACGCAACCACTTGTTGGTTCCTGCGCAGTTTTTCTAAGGTTTCAGGCGTGTTTTCTGCCAGGCCCTCGGGCGAGCAGACAAGTCTGGCGGCTGCTGAAACGTTTCCCTGCTCTATGCAAGAAGACACCGCATTTATCCACCGGTCGGGGTTGTGGCCGCGTGGATTTGCGTTGATGTGGTTTTCAAAACCCGAGAGCAGGGACGTAACCTCAATCGAGGAGTATTCGGACAAGCGCTTGTTAATCTGGTTGCCTTGGTTGACCCGGCGTCCCGGCCGTCAGCACGGCCGTCAGCTTGTCAAAAACACCAGAGTAATCCAGGCCGAGAGGATCACCGGAGCTTCTATAGTGGTTAAAGCAAACAGGGCACTGTTGTAACGTTGGAGCCATATGTGATTATAAACAACCAAGAAACGAAGGAAAGGAAACAAACCAAGTGGGGTGGATGGATGAATGAATGGATGAACAAGCGAATGACCAAATGAACGGGCCAGCGAACAAACGAATGAATGAGTGAATGATGGGGGAATGAATGAGCTAATTACTGAACGGACGAATGAGAGAAAAAAAAGAATGAATGAGTGAGTGAATAAATGAATGAATGAATGAATGAATGAATGAATGAATGAATGAATGAATGAATGAATGAATGAATGAATGAATGAATGAATGAATGAATGAATGAATGAATGAATGAATGAATGAATGAATGAATGAATGAATGAATGAATGAATGAATGAATGAATGAATGAATGAATGAATGAATGAATGAATGAATGAATGAATGAATGAATGAATGAATGAATGAATGAATGAATGAATGAATGAATGAATGAATGAATGAATGAATGAATGAATGAATGAATGAATGAATGAATGAATGAATGAATGAATGAATGAATGAATGAATGAATGAATGAATGAATGAATGAATGAATGAATGAATGAATGAATGAATGAATGAATGAATGAATGAATGAATGAATGAATGAATGAATGAATGAATGAATGAATGAATGAATGAATG